AAGAAAAAAACAGAGCAGTTCTTCGTTAGATCCAAAAATCGCAGATAGATCCAACCTGTTTCACGCCTCGGCTCTGATACCAAATGTTAATCCCAGAATACTAACAATCATACAACCATAGCAGTGATAAAAGAAGCAGATAGAAAGAAATCGACAAGATTGAAACGCAAATCTGGTATACCGTATAAAACTGTCCGCTGCTCTCCCTAGAGAAGGAGAGCAGCGGCAACCCTAATATCTATCTATCTCGCCTCTGCGCCTCTAAGCCTCTTTCGATTGTTTTGGGTTCCCGTAAGTTAGCCTCCTTTTATAGGAGAAGTTGGCTAACTTACGGGTTACAAGGAAGCCCACGGGCTGATACACATTTGTGGCCCGTATTACACGTTTAATTAATAACTACACAAATACAAAAATAACTAACTAGATTGAACACCATAAAATATTCCCAACAACGTGGACTGGGATGAGGTCCAATGGTCGTATCTGGGAAAAACTAGATAGATATTTGATCAATCAAGGCTTTAATTCCAAATTTGGAGTTGTTACCACGCAACACCTGAGTATGTCTAGTTCCGATCACTGTCCTATAATACTTATTTGTGAAGAAGAAGGTAGATCTGGACCAAATCAATTTCTCTTTTAAAATATGTGGCTAGCACATTTGGACTTTTTGCCTTATGTGCGAAGCAAGTGGGAGTCTTATCTGACTACTGGCGGTATGAGGGGTTTGGTTTCGAGGCTCAAAGCCTTGAAGGAGGACTTGAAATTATGGAATAAAGAGGTATTTGGAGACATTTTTGCGGTTGCGAGTAAACTGGAGGTGGAAGCATTAGTAGCTAAAAAAGAATTTGAGGAAAATCCTAATGAAGATACCAGAGCTGGGTGTTTTAAAAAGCAGGCTGATTTACTTGTGCGTGTCAAACAATAGGAGGCCTTTTGGAGAAAAAAAGCTAATGTAAAATGGATTCAGGATGGTGATGCAAATACTCGTTTTTTCCATGAAAAAGCGAAAGAAAAAGTAAGAAGACAGCATGTTGTAGCCATCAAAGGATCAAATGGGAAGTGGTTTATGATAGGCAAGATATTGAGGCTGAAGTTGTTTCCTTTTTTACTAAACTCTACGAGGAAGAACCTACGAGTCATCAGTATAGAGTGCTTGAACATATTCCTTCCCTGCTTGATGAAAGCGATAATGAGTTGATGAGTGTTTTACCCAGAGAAGTGGAGATCAAAGAAGCTATATATATGGACCTTAAATAAAGAGTCTGCACCATGTCCAGATGGTTTTGGGTGGGGGGGGGGGGGGGGCTTTTTATAGAGATTGCTGGGACATTATTAAAAAGGATGTGGTGCTTGTTGTCCAAGAGTTTTTGTTAAGGTTACCTATACCCAAAAGTGTGGGAAGTGTCAATATGCATCTCATACCAAAAAAAGAATCTTACTTCTTTGGGGGATTTCAAACCTATTTATTTGTCCACCTTCATTAACAAGGTCAATACTCGCATTTTAGCTAGCAGGTTAGCTTCTTGTTTGCCTAAAATCATTTCTATTGAACAATCAGGTTTCATGAAAGGAAGAGAGATTAAACATCAGGTGTTGGGGGCTATGGAGATGCTCCATAATCTTGATAAAAAGGTTCGGGCTTCTAATATTGTGGTTAAACTTGATATGACAAAAGCTTTTGATAGGGTAGATTGGGGTTTTCTTGACGCTGTTTTGGGAAGATTTGGCTTTAATAAGAAGGTTAGGGATTTGATTATGGGAAACTTGAAGGCTACCTACATTTCAGTTATGGTCAATGGCATCCCTTATGGTTTTTTCAAACCATATAGGGGAGTTAAGCAAGGAGATCTCCTTTCTACTATGTTGTTTATTACTCCCTCCGTCCCCTTTTAAATGTCCCGGAAGAGGGTGACACGAGTTTTAAGAAAAGTAGGTTTGTGTGGTTGATATTAATAGATAAAGTAAGAATAAAGTAAGAATAAAGTAAGAATGATTTTGATCCACACAAACTTTACCAAATAAGGTATGGGACAATTAAATAGGGACATCCCAATATGGTAAAATGGGACATTTAAAAGGGGACGGAGGGAGTATGTCAGAAGTCTTTTCCAGAGGTTTGAAGTACTTGATTAATAAAGGGGGCATTGAAACTTATAATTTGGGAAGGGGAGGCAAAATCTCTCATTTAGCTTTTGCAAACGATCTTATGGTATTTCTTAATGGATCTTCTCAGTTAGTTAGAAGGTTTAACAAATTTCTACAACACTATCAAGAAGCTTCTGGACAGTTGGTTAATAAGGATAAATCATGCTTTGTTGTTGGGAAGCATACTACAGTAGCCAGAATTAATCACATTGAGCACATATTGGAAATGAAAGCTTCTAATCTACCTTTTAAGTATCTGGGAGTTCAGATTCACACAGGTGTTACCAGGTTGAGTCATTGCAAAGATATTTTGGACATGTTGGACAAAAACTTTATATGTGGAGTAACAGATGGTTATCTCGGGGGGGGGGGGGGGGGGGGGGGGGCAGATTAGTTTTAATTAAACATGTACTATGCTCGATTCCCCTACATGTTTTGGTTGTTGTAACACCTCGGCCCCGTAGGCCCCGAGATAGTTACTTCTGACCTCTAGTACTGTCCTCACAAACCGCCACTAGCCTTTTCCGCGCACTTAGTCCTCACTCGTGCGCACCCTGAGAAACTTCCCAGGGGGTCACCCATCCCAAGACTACTCTCGTGCAAGCACGCTTAACTTTGGAGTTCTTGGCTAATGAGCTCCCTTAAAAGGAGATGCACCTTGTTGGTATGAGTAGTACTATTAATCCGTTTAAATTAAATCTCAAGTGTTACAATCACCCCCACTTAGGAACGCAACGTCCTCGTTGCGCCCATAAACCAATCTCAATCATATCCCAGAATATTTTCCCCTGTTAAGTGCCCGCCCGATATCCAACGGATCAGCACACTGTCACAGGGTTGCTCTGATACCATTTGTAACACCTCGGCCCCGTAGGCCCCGAGGTAGTTACTTCTGACCTCTAGTACTGTCCTCACAAACCGCCACTAGCCTTTTCCGCGCACTTTGTCCTCACTCGTGTGCGCCCTGAGAAACTTCCCAGGGGGTCATCCATCCCAAGACTACTCCCGTGCAAGCACGCTTAACTTTAGAGTTCTTGGCTAATGAGCTCCCTTAAAAGGAGATAAACCTTGTTGGTATGAGTAATACTATTAATCCGTTTAAATTAAATCTCAAGTATTACAGTTGTCACTAATCTTCCAATTTCTGTGGTGAAATTGATAAAAAGGAAGATTAGTAACTTCTTTTGGGGAAGCCACAATAATAAGCCAAAACATCATTGGATTAGATTCAGTAAACTGTGTAAGCCTACGGAATGTGGTGGTCTTGGTATTAGATCTGTTGGTGATATACAAAAGGTAAATGGTATTAAGCTGTGGTGGGAATTTCAAAAGGGGGAGAGTATCTGGTCTGGTCGTATGAATGGTAAGTATAGCATGAGGGCTTTAGGGGAGTACAAACCTAGTGACTCCCCCATTTGGAAGAGGATTTGCCTCTCACATGAAGAAGCTGAGAGCATGGTCTCTAGCGGCCCTCAGTCCCTTGTTTGGAAGTACACTACAGATGGGAATTTTTCTTCCCAGTTAGCCTATAAGGCTTTATGGACACAAGGAGGAAGAACATTATCTACAAAAGACAGGTGCCTAATATTAGGGTATTCTTGTGAAAATTGTGGTATAGGGGTCTACCAATTCAGCCACTTTTGTCAGAATTTCATCAATTTCAAAAACCAGACGATTTAGTTAATTTCAGTGTTACTAAACTTGCTCTAATTATCAAAATTAGAACATGAAAATAACAATAGATCAATGAGTAATAAAAAGGACTTTTCAACAAAGGACTTTTTAAAAGTAAAAAGAATGAGACTCTTAAAAAAATAAAATTTCATTAAAAATTAACATGTTCAAATAATATCATTATAATATATAAGTGACTCAAAATATAAATATAATTGAATTTGATTATTATTGAAGACTTACAATTCTGTGCATACAAAACTTTTTTTATTTTAATGTTTAATTAGACAATGAGTAAATATATATATATATATATATATATATATATATATATATATATATATCCTCCTTTTAATACTTTCCCGTTAGCTCCAAGTAACCTCCATTAGGGGTGGGCACAAAAAACCGTAACCGTTTAACCGTACCGAAAAACCGAAAAACCGGTGTCTTTTTCGCTTAACCGTACCAGAATTTTTAAACTCACGGTACGGTTAACCAACCGGGAGGGAAAAATGGGTAGCGGTACGGTTACGGTTTTGGAAATTATCTCACCGGTTAACCAGTAACCATAGGATCATACGCAAACACTACACACGGACAATAAATTTCAACAAAGGTATGGGGACGGGAAAGTGAACACTTTGTATCAGTTTTGGAATTCTGGTGTATGTATATTCACGTTCAGGCATGCATAGTGGAATAATATACACACTTTACAATCAATTACTCCGTACATAATCTACTGAAATGTATACATTTTCTTTAGTACTATACATATATAAATAGTATAATTAACCTAATAACCATATAAATACATAGATATAGGAACATATAATATGGAAAAGTAATAGTGCACATGGAAAGATAATACGGTGTATACGGGCTAACTAAAGTTGAGCCAAGGAGTTTTTTTGGAAAAGTTTCTGCTATATAAAATTTCTAATTTAATCTTGAATTGCTTATGTATTTTTTAACAAATCAAATGTTTAATACAGAGTAGTTTGATGACTTTATTATTTTCCTTTTCATGGTTTTTGGTTAACCAATTAGTGGTTAACCGATATTTTGGTTAACCGAGTATCCGTTAACCAATATAATGTTACGGTACGGATAATGACATTAACAATATATTAACCAACATCACGGTTAACCGAAAATTGGTTAACCAAAGTGCCGTTAACCAATCATGCCCACCCCTAACCTCCATCCATCTTAGCACTACACAAGCAATCTTATCTATTTCAACATTTCTTCACTATCTTAAAGCACACGAGACTAGGATCCTTAGCTAGATCTCAAATATGTCAACAAGATCTGTCGACCTTATCAATTTCGAGCTCGACTATGAAGGACAACACAAAAATGTTTTTGTGGCCAAACAGCTCCAAGATTCAAATCGGAGTCTCAGAATAATCTTAGACGGCGTTTTTACGGTTGCCCAAACTACAAGGTAAGAGTTTTTCTGTCCGTCTGAGTTTATCTTCCTAGGACATTTGTGGTTGACTTTTTGCTAGTGTGTTTTTGTGTGTATATAATTTCAACAGAAAAGTAAAAAATACTCCGTACTAAATTTCCAGATGAGTGGATATGGGTATTTTGAATGGCATGACGAAGCTTTATTGGTTAGGGCTAAAGATTTGATAAACAAGATGAAGTTAGAAAGAAAAATGCTAGAAATGGAGAAAAATAGGCTGAACTCCGTTAAATCATTTGTCCCACACCGGAAAGCTATAAAACAATTAAACAATATATAAGGTTTTGGGCTACTCCTCATATCAGGTTTACCTTTTAAGATGGAACTCCATGTTTTAACATGGTATTAGAGCCAAGTCCGATTGTGGTTTGACGGCTTGTTTAGCACCCATGATTAAGAGCAACTTGTTAAGGGTCTGTTTGGCTCATTTATACACCCCGATATTGTTCAGCCCAGTTCGGACTGAGGGAACGTGTTAAAGCATTTGTCCGGTTGTCCCACACCGAAAATGCTATAAAACAATTAAACACTTTATAAGGCTTTGGGCTATTCCTCCTATCAGGTTAACTTTTTAGGATGGAACTCCAGGTCTTAACAAACTTATTGAGAGTCAAAATGCCATATACATTGGGAGAACAAGAAATACAACAATTGTGGAGTGAATTAAAAAGATTGAAGAAACACACTACTCAAAAGGGAGCTTCATTGGAAGATAAAACCAGACTGGAGAAGCCAAAAAATGACATACATTTTTGCTATGATTAGTTGGCTAGAATTGATAGTTGTCCATCTAAAGTACTTGTGGGTAATTATAATGAATTTGTAGTTGTATTATCATCTATTGGGACTCCACTGATATAATGTTGTTTATAATTTCAGACCATGTTGTTTATTGATTAGTGATAGATGACAATGTTTATATTATTTAATGTATTAAATATTTCTTGTATTTATCTCTTGTAGTTCGGTTGATTTAGATTAGCATCACCTGTAAGTTTATTCTTATCACATGTAATTACTGCGAGAGTTTTATGCTAACACATCAGTATATATAATCGGCTAATCAATATGATTAGCCAAGCCTGTTTCTTCACTTTAATATCTTTCATGGTATCAGACGCCTCAATCTTTTGATTGGGCTGGTGATGTTGATACCCGACACTCCACCTCTGCTTATGTTATTTTTATTGGCCGAAATCCAATCAGCTGGAGCTCCAAGAAGCAACTCACTATTGCACGGTCCTCCACAGAAAATCTTTCTTGTTAAGCTCTTTGAGGGGCCCTTTAAGGAGCTTTAACTTCCTACACAAAGAAAATTGTGTTGTGCCCCCAATATGTTGATTCCAAACCTGTGCCAAAATGTTAGCAAAATCATGGTGTTTGAGCCACATATTAAAAATTTTAAAAGGCTTAGCTCGGTTTGGAGAGTTTTGGAGCATGGTCACAACGGCAGCCGTATGATCAAATTCCACATCCATCTCACAAAAGTGAGCCTTGCAATCAACATTCCTTTGAGCCCAAACCGAATTTAAAAGGACCCTGTCAAGCTTTGCCCATAGCGTTTCTCTGTTCCACGTAAAAAATTCCCCGATAGAGGGTGCATCACAAACGCCAGCATAAGCTTTAAAGTCAATAAGATCCTTCATGAAATAAGCATTAGGGGGCTGAACCCACCCTTTCCGTAAGAGAGGCCACACAATTAAAATCGCCAATCACCATCCAAGGATCGGTGATAAGACTGCCAACCTGTGTAAGATGCTCAAAAAGCCCCCTACGCTCAACAATAGTGTAAAGAGCATAAACAAAAGTTATAAAGAACAGGGATTGGGTGGTTTTACTGATACACTTACCGTGAATATGTTGTTTCGCCACCTCAATAACCACACAATCAATAAAATTCGGGTTCCAAATGATCCCCATCCTACCACCGGTGATATGGTCAAAGTTTGTACTAGACAACCACCCGGGCTATCTATTATTAACCATGTTCCCAAAACTGATGGTGAACATCTTCATCTCAAGTAAACAAGCAATCGAAATATTATTAGTGCGCATAATATTTAAAACGGAATTTTGTTTTGAGGTCTTACCAAGCCCTCTCACATTCCAAACGAGCACACGCATAAATCAAGTAAGATGAAGGTCCGGGGATTTGCAATCGTTGGTCGTCAATCCGGTGACTACTACAATTAGGGATCCTTAATCCGGTGGCGAGTTGGAATTGATGGGTTCACATTTGGAAATGCTATTACCGACCGTGCCGAAACACAAGATGCAGGATCCATGGCTTACACAGTTACACGACTTTTTTAGAGACTCTAAAGTTAGCTATGTAATCCTTTCCTTGCGGGTTGATTAACAAATCGGAAGCTTTATGTAGGTAGATGAATTTTAATAACATTCTCGTCCCATTATTCATGAATTCTTCTTTAGAAATTATTTGAATAAAATAGATATTGATTCGGTGATTCGTAATTCATCCCCTCAAGTTATCAGTTTTCAGCAGTGCTTATTATCACTTATATGTTATTGCTTTATTTCAAGATTTTTATAGCAGTGAAATTCTTAAGATGAGGAAACTATTGAGGCCTAGTCCATCTTGTCTTCTAACTAAAAAGGGACAACATTGATAGTATTTATTAAAAAGGTGGTTGTAATATATATGAAGTAATTAAAATCAAAGAGCTGCAAGCCTGCAACTTACACGAGCAATACCAGCTATTTGCAAACCTTTTTTGGAATACAATATAACCTTCATTTTTGAACAAGAATGTTTCTCAATATTGCACTAAAAAGGGACTCTATATCATAACTTGAGCAATACCAACGTCCAACTATTTGCAAACTAGGTACATTTCTATTTAACATTCTAGTGGTAAAGTTAAGTTAAAACGATTTCAGTCGATTTCTATTTTATACATTAATGGATAAAAATCTATTAACAAATTAACTATTTAAGAAATTAAACATGTTGAGTTATATATTTCTGTTGCTTTAACAACTTGCCTAGTATCCACAGTGAGTTTTGACCCCCTTTTTTCCATAACATAACCATTAGACGAGAAAATATCTTCTTGCAGGAGATATGTATACATGAAAAGATAATTTTGGGAAAATAATGGCTTGCACTATAAGGAGCCTTGATCATGTATTTATACTAAAACAGGGTTTAAGCGTTTACACAGAAGTCCCTAAACTATTACATTATCACACCCACTCAATCTGTACAGGGGAAACAACACGCATATTGGAACGTAAAAATTCAAAACGCTGACTAGACAAATTTTTAGTAAAAATATCTGCAAGCTGGAACTGAGTAGGATTATATTTGACTTGAAGATCTCCATGTGCAACGCGCTCGCGAACAAAATAATAATCAATTTTAATGTGCTTGTTGCGGTCATGCTGAATAGGATTCACAGCTAGGTAAGAAGCAGAGACATTATCACAATGCAGTTGAACTGGCGCGGAGATAAAAATATCCATATCCGCAAGCAACGAGTGAATGAAAATAGTATTTTGAACGATATAAGAAATAGCCCGGTACTCAGCTTCTGTGGAGGATTTGGACACTGTGGGTTGCCTCTTGGAGCGCAAAGATATCAAATTATTGCCCAAAAACACGACATAACTAGTGGTAGAGCGAGAACTGTTCGGACATCCTGCCCAATCAACATCAGAATAGGCTACAATGAAAGAGATTTACTTATCGGACCGCAACCATAATCGATGAGTGGAAGTGCGTGGTGCTAAGACATGTTCCAGACCTTCGGCTCAATCTTCTGTCTGTGATATGTCTTGAGGAACAGGGGTATGAAAACCACTTTAGAAGGGGCACATAGAAAATGTCAAAGGGCGTTTTGACAATCGCTCGAGGACATGTTTGTGGCACATTGTACAAAACCCATTTGAGGATTTGTACGGATAGCCTCAACATTGTTGAGGAGGCTTCTCAGGATCTGTGGCACTTAAGACTCGATCACATCGGTGAGAAAGGGTTGACTACCTTGATAAAGAAGAACCTTATCAACATTGACAAGAATGTTGCATTGGGTCCTTGCGGTCATTGTCTATTTGGTAAGCAACATTGAGTATCATTTAGTTATACTTCAACTAAAATATCGAAGTTGTTAAATTTGGTACACTCTGATGTATGTGGTCCTTTGGAGGTGGAATCACTCGGTGAAGCAGATATTTTCTGACTTTTATCGATGATGCTTCTCAGAAAGTGTGGGTTTATTTCCTGATAACAAAAGATCAGGTGTTCAAGTGCTTCAAGACATTTCACATCTTGGTGGAACGTGAAATAGGAAAGAAGCTGAAATGTCTCCGGTCTGGTAATGGAGGCGAGTATACTTCCAAGACATTCGATGCATATTGTAGAACATATGGCATTCGATATGAGTAGTCAGTACCACGCACCCTTCAGCATAATGGCGTTGCTGAAAGAATGAACCATACTATCATGGAGTGAGCCCGAAGCATGTTGAATGTGGATAAACTTCCAAAGTCATTTTGGGGAGAAGCAGTCAACACCACATGCTATCTTATCAACCGATCACCTTCAGTACCACTCAACTTTGAAGTTCCGGAGAGGTTATGGACATGTAAGGATCCTACATACTCACATCTTAGAGTATTTGGTTGTTCATCATATGCACATGTATCCAAAGAGCCCAGACTGAAGCTTGATGCAAGAACTATCCTATGCATTTTCGTTGGCTATGTAAATGAAGAGTTTGGATACAGGTTATGGGGGATCCTTAGGAGAAAAAGTGTTCATAACAGGGACGTTGTGTTCCACGAAGATTTGACAATAGAAGACATTGAAAAACCCACAATGTCTCGGAAGTCAAATGAGGGTGCTCAAGTTTCAAATGAAGCACCTGAATTATTCTTGAGAAACAATGACGAAGTGCATGAAGAAAACTCAGAAGCAGTAGAAGATGAGGAGACAGAAGAGAGTGCAGAGCAAG